CTAAATGAGTGAGCTGAAGATTATTCCCACAGTTTCATCTGGGGAATTTTTGGAAACAGCCAGCATGCAATATGAAACATAAGGCTGGAAGGAGCAGTATGTGTCTAGCCTAGCCACCTGCATATCAGAGACATCTTATTTCACCCAGTTATTCCCGTACTGAGGTCAGTAGCTCGTGTCTGGCTCAGACGTGTCTTCTGGGAAGGTATCCCACCTTGAATTCTGGAGCCGTGGTTTTCAACCTGTTTTCATTTGTGGACCCCTAAAAAATTTTGAATGGAGGTGTGGACCCTTTTGAATTGTAAGTGTGTGTATTCACATACTTCTGATTGGTCATAGTCATCTCTCGCAGACCCCTTACACTCCAGGGGTCTGCGGACCGCAGGTCGGGAACCGCTGCTCTAGTCTAAAGTATCCACCACAGCCCTTGGGAGTTGCTCTTGCTTGAATCTGTCCAGCCTCAGCTTCCAGCCTTGCTTCTTCCTCCAGGTTTAAGAGCCCTTTAGTTCTGACATCGTCTTCTTGGAAAAGGGTTTTTATGTCGTAATCGATCCGTTTTGCCTGTTAAATAGCATTGAGACATAACTTGAGCTCCTGAAGTCTCTCAAGGTACGGCATTTTCTCCAGCCCTCAAATCTTTCCTTTCTCGTCTGGAGCCTGGCTTGCACATCTTGTTCCTAGAGGTATAACTTTGCCTTTGGCTGTACAAGAATGCATTTAATTTAACTGGGCTCAGGATGCTAAAGCACCCAGCTCCCTCTCGGTGACTGCCTGGGTCTCTGTCATTACTTGCCGCCCTGCCAGGCTGGGTGTTATCTACAATTTTCTTTTAGCAGCAGTTTTATATTTCTGTCCTGTCCATTGAAGACAGTGTTGAAGAGCAGTGGGTTTCCTGCCAAATCCAGCCAAGTTCCTCTAGCACATTTGCCAACTCACAGCTACTTTGAAATCTGTGCGATAGCCAGCTCTCAGTCCACTTAACGTGTGCTTTCTTGCTGTAGGACAGCGCTCATCGACTCCTAGAGAAGTTGGGCTGGAAGGGACCTCCAGAGGTCATCTAGTCCTACCTATTACGGCTGGGTAGGTGGAGCATCACTGCTGTAGGATACTGCTGATTTAAAAAAAAAAAAAAAGATCAGAATATTATGTAGCCTTTCCAAAGTCCGAGCGTATTGCATCTCTGCTAGTCTGGTCAGTAAAGGTGATTGCAGTCTCATTAGGGAATGATATCGTTTTGGGTTTTGGACAGGCCCTGTTTTCCATAGCACCTTGTTGAAGCGGAGCACCAGCCAATGCGAAGTGTTAATTATTGTCAGCGAAACGGGAAGGTATGCACACATCTCCTGCAAGGAAGGTGCAAGCACCTCTGGTGGAAGCAAGCAATTGAGAGGGTGTGAGACGGGTGTTGCTGCCTCCCTCTCATACCAGAGTATCATGTGGCTGTAAAAGAATTTAGTAGGGTGTTTCCTTGTCGTGCACAGCAATTCAAGTGCGCATGAAATATTTCCTTATCGTCCGCTCTTCCTGGTCCAATCTGGGTAGCAGGTTAATGCCAATCCATTCCTTTGTTTAAAGGCTCAGTTATGCTGGCAGTCTGTTTTCTGTCGGTTTGTTAGTGTTTCAGGGGCTATTCCAGTGGTATCCTCTCAACTCCTCTACAAAGTCTGCCTGAGTTAGCCAAGTGAGCTCTTCGCAGGAACACGAAAGGGTTAAGGTTAAAATTGCCACTACTAACACTAATGGGCATCCCTTTGAGAAGAGCCAAAACCTGCAGCAAAACCTGTGATCCTTCCAGCGCACAAGTTCATGAAGAATAAGCTTCTACCCATGTAGATGGAAGGCTTGGAGCACCTTGGAGACTGATTGTTATTTTCAAAACATGGCCCCCGTGCTGTGGCATTGGGTAGCGTGTTCCTACAAGACCCTCCAATGTTTCTTGCAGCCGCAGGAAATTAAAAAGTTAAAACCAAGGGGGGTGGGAAGCAACGCGTGGTGTGGACAGCACACTCCTTGCTCGGTGATTTTGCTTAAGGCCTGGCAAAGCACGGGTGCCCGCTGGGCACTTTTCAACACTTGTGATTCTTTCCCCGTGCAGGGCAGGGTGGGAGACTTCAAGGTATTTAGATCAGAGCAGACCGTATTTATGCCCAGGAAAGAGTGCAAGAATTGCTGCTTGCGGAGCGAAGCCAACTTCCTAGGAACGAGTGAAGACCAGCCCTTGAAGGGAAGCCTGGATGAGGTCTTCTGTGCCATGAAGTCCTGCGGTCACCCCCTGTGGATTGCAAGGGGTGGGTGTCCTTTCCATGCTCAAGAGATGAGGTGTGCAACAGCAGGGGAGGGCTGGGCTGGTCCGAGGGGTGGGAGGAGGGAGATGAATTTATGCCGGCTGTTTCTGGGAACTCTTGCTCATGGGATGTGAGAGGACAGCTGCTGCTGCTCAGTCGCATCAGTCACCAACTCAGAACGAGCGAACTTCAGCTGGAGAAGCCAGAAACGCAAATGGAAGTGTTATGGTCTTATGTCAGACCAAAGGAGGGAAGTCCTGTTGACTGTGAGTAGATCACAGCAGATGTTGCAGGGGCCCCAAAACTGACGCATTTTCCAGCTGCAATCTCCTAATGCCCTTTAACAAAGGCAGTGCTTTCCAGGTATCTCCTACTAACATCCTATTCAGTAAAGGTCAGATCTACAGACTGTGACTGGCAGCGATGAGACCTGTGCTTCCCGTGCAAAGAAGCATCGCTGGAAGCCATCGGTCTCAGAAGACCACGGAGGTTGCACCTTTGGTGGGTTACTGGTACCTCCACAGCTTCTCGAGTGGCTCAGGAGTCCGATGTGTGACAAGCAGACCCTCCAGTAAGTTGCACATACAAACCCAGTTGAGCTTGTGTTGGCAAGTTGCCGAGTGCCGTTTCGTCTTGCCTGCCTCTGACGCCTCTTTTCTAGCTCATCATTGACCGCCATCCCGAAGCGACATAGGCCCTGCTTCATGGCGGCTTTCCACTCACAGCGGTCTGAAGCGATTGATTCCCAGCGTTGGCCATTGATGCACCACTCACGAAGGTTTTTCTTGCAGACATTAACAAAAGGGAAGTTGGGCCGTCCAAGTTGATGTTGGGGATCCAGCCATTGCTCATACGATTCACATGTCCTAACCAAGAGGCACCTCTGTCTCAGGAGCATGAACATAGTGGGTATTTTCTCCCATTTCAGAACAGCAAAGCTGTAGATTTTGTCATGCCATGTTATGCCCAGGATATGGCAGAGACACAGAAGATGGAAACTCTTCAGTTTTTTTTTTTCATGCTTAGCATAAGGAATCCATTGCTTAGCTTTGCAAATTTGCCTTCACTACATTATAATAGGCATTTGGATGTTTATCTTGCTGGGATCATCTTATCCCTCCAGACTTCTTGCCTCTGGCAGGGGCTGGACTCAGTGATCTCGCGAGGTCCCTTCCAGCCCCTAATGTCTATGACATCTATAAGGAGTCCATGTTTGCTGCCATACAATATAGAGCTAAATGCACAAGTGCTGTAAACAGACATCTTTGTTGACGGAGTTAAAAACTGTTTTTCGACAATAAAGTTGCCCAAACTCACACTGCTGAATGTGGCTTTCTATCTTCCAAGCTTCCTGCTCGGCTGTTGTGTTTGAGAGATTCACCGTACCTAATGACCATTCAGCCCTTTGGAGAAAGTCTCTTGACTCTTCCTTCCTGATGATCAAGAGTTGAAAACCTTTGAAACGTCCAGTGAGTAACGACTCAATGGAAAAGGTTATGAAAATAGCAGCGTTGGCAGGTTTAAACAGCACTTTTATGACTCTAGGAGCAAAGTCTAGGTCTTTAAGCCCAACTCTACCTCTTTTCATCATTTATGGAAAAAAACCAACAGGCTGACGACTATCCAAACAAGCTGAAATTGCTCACAAATGTCAGTGCGTCGACCCTGAGAGAGGGGTTAGACAGCTGAGGGGGAGCAGCAGCAAAAATGATACGGGAAGAGTATCTGTACATGTCTAAGTGGAGTGTCCGTGGAAAATCCCCTCAGCTTTACTGCTGCATTTAACATTTGCTAGAGTTAAGCGGTTTTGGTAGCACTTCTCGGCTTTGCCTGCTCATGTCAAGTGCACTGTTAGCGTGGCACTCGGCTGTTACGTGGGGTTTGAGTAACGGGAGCTCCTGTTACTACTCTTGAAAGGTGGTGGTTGGGAGCCCGAGAGAGGTTAAGCTGTATTTTTCCCCACTACCATTCATTAGCTAGTCATTAAATCCTGCCGTAGGCCGAGTCTAAGTAGGTGGGAGCCCCTCTTGTCTGAGAACAGATGGGGCTGCTCTTCTGGGCTCGGGGGCAGCATCCTGCACTGTGCTCAGGCTGGTGTTAAACCCAGACTAACTCCACTGACTTCAGTGGGATTATCCCAGGGTAAAATGGGCTTGAGATCAGCATAGCCTTCCACTCTGTGCATCCTGGATGGATCGAGAGGGCCCCATTGATTTTTCTTTTAGTCATCATGGAGCTATGTATCACGGGGCTCTCTTCTGTCCACATTGTTCTTCAGATTTGCTGGTGGGAGATGGGAATGTCTATCAAGTGATGTCATTTATTGGAACAAGTGCTCTTGCTTGTGGTAAATTGAAAGGAAGTGATTTAAAGTCCTTGGTCAGGGGAGACACTTTGTGCATTGCTAGTCGTATACATAATCGCCTAGACGCAGTCAGACTCCTGAGTGCTGGGAAGTCATGATGGGGCCAGGATTTCAACATCAGATTTGATGCCTCGCCACTTAATTAAGGGTGTGTGTGTAGAAATATAAATATAATTTAGCCCTGGAAGTGTCTGTCCACAAAGCAAAACTGCGGAGTAACTCAGGGATAAGTAGCTAACTTCTGTTTTGGAGAGAGCAGCTGCAGCAGTGTGCGCACATGTAATTATATCACACGTGTAGTCATGTTTCTGAGACTGAAATCCCATCCCCCCCGTCCCTGCCAGCCCCGATAACTCTTCTCTCTCAATTTGACTATCTAAAAATATTGGTGATTAGTTCTGTTTTCTGAAGGCGAGGTTTCTATTTGTAACTGTAAAGCCTTGTTTCCTCTCAGCTGGCATTTCCTATAAAAGGGTGAGAACAGCTAGTCCACTGTGCTGGACAACTGCGCCATCAAAGCATCAGAGACCTGCCAGCCTTGCTCCGAGTCGGCAGCCGTAGCTAGGCAAGCCCCCATCTTTTACGACAGCACAGAACAAATGATGGCTTACACTCAGGAAATGGCTTGACCGTCCCTGATAGCGGTGAGCCTTTTACATCCTCTTTAGCCATGTGTTTGATGCCAGTGTTCAGCTCATTTCAGAAACTTGAGTCTGACTGCATTTCTTCTCTCGCAGGAGGAGCAATGGATTGGCCCCAGCCAGGGTCCAGCATGTGCCGGGAGAAGTGGCCCATCTGAAGTGGAGGTGATGCAAAGCCCCATGACAAAACCAGCAGGACCATGGGTTTGCGATTGCAGGGCTGTCTCTCCGCTTTGCCCACTGCTGTGGTGTACGGGTCCCTCTCGCTCTTCCTTTCCATTTTGCACAACGTGTTCCTCCTGTACTACGTGGACACCTTTGTCTCCGTTTACAAGATTGATAAATTGTCCTTCTGGATCGGCGAGGTACGCCTGTGACGTCTGGTTTATTTTTTTTTTTTTCTACCGTTCTTAAGTTACATAAAAGGATCTGAAACCAGAGCTGATGCTGTATGTTAGATCAGAGAGAACACTGCTTTTTATCACTGAATAGGAGGGGAGAGGGGTGGACAATCCCAGTAAATTGAGCTATTTAATTCTCTTTTATATAAACACAGAAAGTGAGTAGAAACTCCAGAAATCCACTATTTTAAGAATGCCTTTTGGTTTGAGAGATTTTTAGAGCATTTCACAGACCACATGCAGCAGCGCTGAAGCGTAGTATTAAATGAATCTGAAAATCACTCCTCCTGTCTGGGTACAGATTTCAAAGTCTCTTTGTAGGCACCCAGGTTTGAAAACGCTGGCTTCAGGGTATTAGCCTGTTACCTCCCTAGGCCTAGTTTCAAATATGCAAACGAGCAGTGTCAGCACATCGTTGGTAGATAACATCCGTACATCAGAGTCACTCTACAATTTAGTACTTGACCAATATTGCTATAGGAGGGGGTTTATCATGTAATGACACGGTGGAGGAAGGGTATTTAAGTGCTGTACTGTCCCCATCTAAAACGTACTGGTTGGTTACTGAGCTTTCTGAATGGTGGTTCTCCCTCTATCAAGACATGCTTGCTGAAACTGTTTGCTGGGGTCTGTTTCACTGTCCTGTCTCTCTTCTCTAGACAGTGTTTCTGATCTGGAACAGCCTCAATGACCCCCTCTTTGGCTGGCTAAGTGACCGGGTATTTCTTAGCACGCAACAGTAAGTCTAATTCTGTTTGCATCCTTGGTTCAGTCCTAGAATCAGAGAGAGGTAGGGCTGGAGGGGAACTCCAGACATCATCTAGTCCAACTCCCTACCTGAGGCATGGGGTTGGATGAGACATTGAAAAGTTACTAGATATTGTCACAGGAGGCTGAAAAAGATTGAGGGGAGGTCAGGTGAAAAAAAAACAATGGGATAGGAATAGGACTGCAGGCATGAACACCTTCCCCCATTGCCCCCCAGCATCCTGAGGGTGCTGCTTGTGCATCATTTAGCACCTGATGTATACAGAGGAGGTCACCAGCACCTGTAACTATAACTACAGCCCTAGCAGGTTCAGTTCCCCACAGGTGACCTGAGGATGCTCAGATCCAAAAGTAGGAGCCTGTGGTGTTCAAGCAGAGGTTCTTGGAGTCGGAAGCGGTCATAAACCTCTGTCCACAGGGTGAAACAGGGCTTCCCTGCTTGAGTGGTTTGAGCAGCCTGCATTGCCATGGCTTTACCACAGGATTGCAGAGCAGACAGTGCTAGGCTGCCAGCCTGAGTGCTGCACTCTGTGTGACACCCTGCGCTTCCTCTGTGCTGTTTTACCTGTGGTCAGGGGCTGGGCCACCTCCTTTCCACAGTGGCAGGGTCAGACAGGAGATGAACAAGGGATCTTGCTATCCTGGTAGATGTTGTATGGCTGCCTTCTGGGATTGTGAGGAGGAAACAGGTGGTGCACAGTAGCTTGGAGTCTCCCCCAGCGGAGGAGCGTGTCCAAAGTTTCTTCCTCTTGTTTTGCAGGCCAGGAGCGGAGATCTCCTCACCAGAAGTTGTTCTGAAGAGGCTTAAGGCTCTGAGCCGCAATGGCCCCCTATTTGCCCTTTCCTTCCTGGCCTTCTGGGTTGCGTGGGCCCACCCAGGCTTGCAGTTCCTCCTCTGCCTCTGCTTCTATGACAGCTTCCTCACCATGGTTGATCTCAACCACAACGCCTTGCTTGCGGACCTCGCCGTTTCTGCCAAGGACAGGACCAGCCTCAACTTCTACTGTTCGCTCTTCAGTGCCATTGGTTCGCTGTCCGTCTTCATGTCGTACGCAGTGTGGAACAAAGAGGACTTCTTCTCTTTCCGCATATTTTGTGTGGCGCTGGCTCTCTGCTCCGTCCTTGGCTTCAGCCTGTCAACGTGGGTGCTGAGGCAGCGATTTGAGACTGAAGGGAAAGCAAAATGGGACCAAGAGGCCACTTTGAAAGAGTAAGTGGCACCAAATGGCACAGCCTTTCATTCACGCTCACATGGTGGCCTGATCCCTGGCCACCACACCAGCACTTTGAGCAGCTTTCAAATGTGCTACGTGTCTACTTGAAGGGGAGAACGTTTGGAGCACCTAAGTCCCCCAGGGCTTGTCTGTCCTGCCTCCCTGCTCTGCCTGGCATTGCAGCCAAAAAGCCAGCCCTGCCCACTTGCCCCTGCTTGGGGCATGTCAAAACCCATCAGGAAGCACAGCTAGCTGAGAGTGGCCCTGGGCACATGCTGCGAAGCGCATCTGAGACCGAGCTGGGGGAGCGGTACTGCAGTGCTGCTCAGATCCAGCTGTGCTGCTGCATTGGGTGGCTGTTAGCAGGCAGGGCTCTGTACCAGGCTCAGCACAGAGGCGGGGCAATACGGCTGCAGCAGTCTAGAGTCTTCTGCTGTTCAAAAGTGGATTAAGAGCCACGGGCTCCTTGAGAGTCACTGGACTTGGTGGCAAGTGACAAAGCTGACTTGGGTTAAGTGACCTGGAGCGTCAAGCTCCTTGTGCCCAGCCTGCATAACCGATGGCCCCTGGGGAGGAGAGAGCCACCTGCCAAGCGTGTAAGTGTGGATACCAGCAAAGACAAAGGGGCTGCTTGGAGCCAGGCTTGAGAATCAGGGGGGATGGACTTGAGGAGCAGTCTTGGGTGACAAACAGAAAGTCTCCCAGGCTGCAGTGGGTTTCCAGGGACAAAGTGGTACAGGGATAAACTCTAGGGACATCTGAAATGAGCTTGAGGCTGAGAGCTGGACAGACAGTGCCGAGAGTAATTCCTGGTGTTGACTAGAGAGTGAACCTCCTAGCGAGAGGCCAGTGCAGCAGCCTTGTAGCAGAGTCCTGCCCAGCACAGAGTCCTCCTGCTCTCCCTTTTTTGTGAGGATGGAAAAACTGCGACATTTCTGACTCATCTGGCAGTCGGTGTGCTGGGACCCTTGCTGATTCCACTGTTCAGAGGCCTCTTCTGTTGTAGCTGCTGTCCCTTCTCTGAAATTCAGACTGGAGGCAGCCTGGAGCACCTAGCACTGTGAGGCCTGGGCTTGTAGCTCTTCCCACAGTGCAGCTAATAGCAAAGGTTTGAATGAGGCTTGGATGGATTTGCATTGAAATGTCACGGCAGCTGGAGTGGGAAGTGCTTTGACGGGTGCACATTTGAAACGCTGTCTCTGCAGACAAACCTGGTGCTGCCTCCGGCAAGAAGCAAGCACTGCCCCAGGCTTTGCTGCCTCTGGTTTGCTCTGGAAGCAGGAGAGATCAAGAATGGGCACTGGCAGCAAGAGAAAGGGAAAAGGTGTCTGGCTGGGCACACAAGGAGAGAGCGCTGGGGGTGATTTGTACAACATCACCCAGGGAGCTAGGGTTAGAGCCACGCTGGGAACGCTGACCTCTTTGAGCTTGCAGGGGAAGGGAGTGCAATGGGAACCCTCCTCCAGGTGGGATCACTAAGAGCAGTATCGTTTTCCCTTCAGATTGTATGTAGAGCAGCCGTCTGCCCCGCAGGAGAAGAGGATCACGTTGGCCGAGTACCTCAAGCAGCTCTCCAGGCACCGCAACTTCCTCTGGTTCGTCTGCATGAACCTGATCCAGGTAGGTGTCGCACTGATACGCCGCAGCCTAGTGATTCACCCGATGAGCCGTTGGCTCGGGTTGCCTGAGACTGTGATTCAGCAGGACGCCGGTTCTTCCAGAGGGAAAGCAGGGGTGTCTGCATAAGTCTGTGGGGTTTCCTGCCGCCCTGTGTGTGACTCATGGCCTGTTCTCTGTGCCTGTGACCTGAGAGTACTCATCTCGTTAACCGGCTCTTCTCTCCATTGCTTGCAGAGGGCAGTAAAGTGTGGACCAAGCTGCTGCTCTGTTGGGAAAAGGATTTGGCTATTGCAAGCTCTGAGACCATCCCACACAGACTAGCTGGAACGCTGCAGCCTGACGGTTTCCATGTGGCTGTGGGTGGGCAGGGGTGCAGAGACAGTGACTGGGGAAACCCTCACTCTGGGATCATGTGGCTTAGTTACAGGTTGGAAAAGCACTGTCCTCTGGCCTTCCCACGTGAGCACAAAGGAGCCTCCTCCCTTGCATTCCTGAGGCCCATGTCACATCCACCCTCTCTCCAGCTGAGGGTTGTGCTCCATTCATCACGGGTCTGGGTTCCTTATCCTGGTTAACCCCAGGGGTCAGCAACAAGGACAGGCTCTTTCCCAAGCTTCCCTGCAGCACTGCAGTTCCTGTTGCCTCTGCAAGCCCTTTGTCTTCCTGCAGCATGCTACATGATTCCCCACCAGGACTGGGCTGGATACAGCTCCTTATTAGTGCCTGTCTGTCTTGTGGGTTACCAGGGCGTAGCTGGTGACTTGCAGAGGTAACTGCTGACAGCGCTGCATTCATTAGCATGACAGCAGGGTGTTTATGACGCTGGCCTCCCTGCTTTACACCATCCTACCTATGCAGTGCTCTGGCACTGGACACCTAGGTTAAAAGCAAAGCACTGGGTTAATTATTAGACCAGGATATGGCTGGCACCAAAACAAATGTGGCACAGCCATTTAAACCAGCTTAAATGGCAGTTAAGATGAATTAGCCATGATTGTTCTGAGGAAAAGTGTTAATTTGGGTAATTCACAAATATTGCATGTGGGACATTGAGCTTGGCTGTCTGGGAGGTCTGGATTCAGTGGGATGGAGTGCACCCTCAGCAAGTTCCCAAGCTGCAGGGAGTAGTAGATATGCTGGAGGGTAGGGCTAGGATTCAGAGTGACTTAGGCACATTTGAGGATTCAACCAAAGTAATCTTATGAGGTTCAACAAGGACACAAGCAAAGCCCTGCACTTAGGAAAGAACAATCCCCTGCACTGCTACAGGCCGGGGACCAATTGGCTGGGCAGCAGCTAGGCCCTGGGGGGGATGGGACAAGAAGCTGAACAGGAGCCAGCAGTGTGCCCTGGTTGCCAAGAAGGCGACCAGCATCCTGGGCTGCGTCGGTAGGAGCGGTGCCAGCAGATGGAGGGCAGTGATTCTTCCCCTCTATTCCGCACTGGGGAGGCCACATCTGGAGTCCTGTGGCCAGCTGTGGGCCCCCACTGCAGAAAGGATGTGGACACGTTGGAGAGAGTCCAGTGGAGGGTAATGGAAATGGTTGTGGGCTGGGGGACAGGACTGGTGAGGAGAGGCCGAGGGAACTGGGCTGATTGAGTCTGGAGAAGAGAAGACGGAGGGAGATTTGATAGCAGCCTTCACCTCCCTGCTGGGGGGCTGCAAAGAGGATGGAGCTGGACTGTTCTGGGCAGATACAGAACAAGGAGCAATGGGCTCAGGCTGCAGCAAGGGAAGTTGAGGTTGGATATTAGGAAATAATTTCTCACTAGGAGGGTGGTGAATTAGTGGAACAGGCCCCCCAGAGAGGTGGCAGAGTCTTCATCCTTGGAGGTTTTGAAGGCCCGGGTAGACAAAACCTTGTCTGGGATGATATCGTTGGGGCTAGTCCCACTTAGAACAGGGGGTTGGACTATCGTGAGGTCCCTTCCAACCCTCATTTTTCTATGATTCAGTGTGGCAAAAAGCTTGGATACGAATCTCTCTGTTTTTGCTCTAGGGTAACAGAACCCAGGCTTTCTCTTCTTAGTCTGCCCCACACTGGTCAGATCATCTTTACACTTGTTTTCACAGGTATTTCACTGCCATTTCAACAGCAACTTCTTCCCTCTGTTCCTGGAACATCTGCTGTCCGACCAGATCTCTGTGTCCACAGGATCTTTCCTGCTGGGTGAGTCTGAGATGGGCCCTGGATGTAACACTGTCTAGCTGCAGGGCTGGCAGCTAGCTCAGCACTGAGCACCCTTTTCCCAAACATGGGCTCTGTCCTCTCAGGGTTAACCTGCCCTCCGACCCCTAGCTGGGACCATTGCTACCACCACGTTGAGTCTCTGAATTTCCCCCTGCCTTGTAAGTTCAAGAGAACCAGTATTTGCCCCTCTTGGGAGGCAGGAGGGAGCAAGCCAGGCATTTGGCTTTAGGCTAGAGTCACAGTTGTGGCAGTGAATGTGCGAGACAGGCTGGGAGCTCTTTGACTCTGCAAACCTGGGTTTAAATCTAGACTGAGGGGTGATGAGTCCTGGAGCGCAGTCACTGTCTCTTGGTTGTAGCTGGAACATCTCCAGCTGAGCAGACAGGGTCTGGAGGGATGCAGGGGTTCTTCCCAGGCCAGGAGCGAGGGGGTAGGTGCAGACACCTTGTCTGACTTCATCCCGTGCTCTTAGCATCTGAGGCGAGTCTGGTCGGTCGAGTGTGGATCTGGGAGTCAGCGTTCCCAGCGTGGCTCTAACCCTAACTCCCTGGGTGATGTTGTATAAGTCGATCACCTCGGATCCCCCCTCTCTCCACTCAGACTAGGCTTGTCTCCCTCTTGGGGAGTTGTGAAGCCACGTGGAGTGTGCTGTCCAGGGTTGAATGCTTTTGTTCGCATCAAATCCACTCCACTCCACTCCACACAGGTGATGGCGGGGGATTGCTAGCTTTTGTCTGAACCCCCAAGCGTGGGTGAGCTGAGCCTTGTTTCTGCATGATGCAGAAAGCCCCTTGAATCAGTTGTGTGTCTTTCTCCCCGCAGGTGTTTCCTACATTGCTCCTCATCTCAACAACCTCTACTTCCTGTCTCTGTGTCAAAGATGGGGGGTTTATGCCGTGGTGCGCGGGCTCTTCTTCCTGAAGCTGGTGCTCAGCGTGGTCATGCTTTTGGCAGGACCTGACCAGGTGCATCTGCTCTGCATCTTCATCGCCAGGTGTGGGGCCTGTCTTGGGTTGCACTCGGCGTGCTGGGGGGGAATATCAGCATTGGGTGGGAGTGTGGGTGGTTTTCTCTCCCTTTTATGGATGGGGGATCTGAGGCATGGCAGGAAGGCCAGGGCAAGCTGGGAGCAGAACTCCAGAGCCGTGATGCTGGGGAAGGTGCTCCAAACACTGGCTCGTGCCAGGTCTCTTGGTGAGAAGCCGTCTTGCCAGGCTGCACCTGGAAGACCTGAAAAATACAGCACGGGGGGAATGGGCAGTAGAGTGAGCTAGTGTATATGCACGTCGTCAGGTACGTTCTCTGTGTCTCCTGTCCTCACCTTTCCGGGGGCTCACGGAGGCCGTGGACCTCATGGGATGCAGGGAGACACTAGTGATGGGAGGATGCTCCTGGGGGCTGCTTTGGGATCAGGGTTACATTTCTCACTGTGCCATTGACATCCCGTGCTCAGTCCAGCTCTGTTAATGCTCCCCGGGCTTCCACCTGAAACCTCTCTGCTGCCTCCTGCAGCAACCGGGTCTTCACTGAAGGGACTTGCAAGTTGCTGAACCTGGTTGTCACCGACTTGGTGGACGAGGATTTTGTCTTGAACCACAGGAAGCAGGCGGCCTCGGCCCTCTTGTTTGGGATGATCGCTTTGGTAACCAAGCCAGGCCAGACCTTTGCCCCTCTGGTTGGCACCTGGCTGCTCTGTGCTTACACAGGTGAGTGATGTGGCATGCTGCTCCCCAGGGACACAGGCGGGTTGGGGCTGTCTGCTGGCTTCTGTGACATGGCATTTGGGCAGGAGCCAGCGAAGAGGAGGTTTGCAGGATAACCTGTTACCCAGCAGCGAATGCACGTTACTGCTCCATGTACTTTGCTCCCCACCCCAGCTGGTGATGCAGTCACCTAACTGAGGTCAGGGCTGGTCAGGATCAATGGGAGACCAGAGCAACTGGGAAGTGGCTGTAGTGGTTTGCTGTGGGACAGGGCTGATCACTGGCCCTCCCTCCCATTGGATAGTTTAATGAAAACTTTCTTAATTTTTTTCTTTTTTTTTTTTTTAAATTGACGCTTTTATGATGAGATCTGAAGGTAATACAGAATGCCTCCAGGCTGAAACTGCAACATTTTAAAACCATTTAATCAATGTACAGAGTCCGCCAGCCTTTTTCCAAAACGGAGTCCCACGCCGCACGCTTTTCTAGAGAAGGAAACAGCCGGGGGGCAGAAAACCTTTGCCTGCTGTGTGGGGGGACGACAGGGCGCAGGATCCTAGAGCAGCGGGGCTGGGAGGGACTTCCAGAGGCCACATCTAGTTTAGGTGATTGGCGGCTTTCCCCTTGGGGATTTAAATCAAGGTGAATTTCAGGCCACCTTGCTGAAGGAGAGAGCAAATGAGGCATGTCCAGTGTTATCCACCCCTGCCTCCTCTCCCACAGAGCTCCCAGAGGCTCTGGTGCCTACAGACGAGTCTCACAGCCTTTTTCTCGGCCTCAGGTTACGACATCTTCCAGCGGGACCCTGTGAGCAACGTGGTGAGCACCCAGCCGAAGCTCGAGTCCGGCACAGCCTGGAAGCCCACCCTGCGCCAAGGCTGCTTCTACCTCCTCGTCTTCATCCCCATCACATGCGCGCTGCTGCAGCTCCTCAGCTGGTCCCAGTTCAACCTGCGGGGCAGGCGCCTGCAGACAGTGAAGGCCCAGCGCCAGTTTCTGACTCAGGGTCACTCACAAGAGATCAAGATGATCTGAGGCCCCTTCAGAGTCCTTTCTGGGGACCCTGCCTCTTGCCAGCTGTGTCTAATGCAGTGCGCCTCTATGCCCTCCAGTGCAGCAGAGGCCAACGGTGTTACTGGTCACCGCTTCCAGGTGCTTACGATTCAACTGTGAAATGTTCCAATACTTGCCAGGCAGATGTTTACTCATTGCAGGAGATGGCAGGCGCTTCGTAGAGACAGGTGATTGCAGCAGTGCCAGGTGGGTTTGCTCAGGCAGGCGCATGGAGTCCTGGGTTTGGCATCCCCGGTGTCGTCCTTCAAATATAAGATCCCCTGGAATTTGAGACAAATGTTCTGACTCTCCAATGCAGCAAAAAAAAAAAAAAAATCAAATATCCTAGTAAAGTAAATTGACAAGAGCACAGCCGTGGCAGGACACAGGAAAGCTTTTCACTGTTTAAATTTTGACTCAGGTTTAGGACACAGGCAGTTTTGGAAGGAGTACTTCATTTTAAAATGTTTCTTATATTTGAAGGATTACAGCAGAGTTGGACAACGGGAGAGCGAACAACCCGATTGCATTGAGTTGTGGAGAGAGCTGATTGAGTGAGGTCTCTAGGGGAGTATTTCACCCCGTGGGACTCCCATGGGAAAGTGCTTGGCCATTTTAGCAGTGGCTTTGTGCCTGGCCAGTGGGACTCCATGCCTTGCCTCTGCCCCCATCTCTGGAGCAGCGGGAGTGGGTGGCAATGCAGAAATGTAAGAGAAACTTCCATTTTGGGGGTGATGGGTGCCCTCCACCCACAGCCAGATAAAGGCTGGGATGGGTAGGGTCCCACCAGAGTGCTGCCCGGAGGACTGGAGACCAGGCAGGATTCAGAGCTGAAATGGGAAATGAACGACCACAGGGAAGGCAGGGATAGGGGCAGGTCTCCTCGGTGCTGGGAAACTCCAGTGCAGTGGTCCCAGTGCTGACGCTGAGCCTTATGTTCGATGCTCTGTAGGGGATGACACCGGGCCTGGCTGTGACCCATTCTGTTGGGTTGAGATCAGGTCTGTCCCCCCAGAACAATTTACTGTGAAGCAGATTTCCTGCAGCTGCAGTTGGGCGCGAGGGCCCTGCCCTCACTGCAGTGCCAGGCACATCCCTTGAACGTGGAGGAAGCCGTCCAGGATAAGCAGCTGCAAACTTGCCTGCCTAGCTCAGCGGAGGGGAGGATGTCCCAGCCAAAGTCCCACGGCTTGTTGCTCCCAAACTGCAGCAGAGGCTGGTGAGGCCAGGCTCCCGGCAGCAAGTGCACAGGGCAGGAAAGAGTCCCTGTCACTGCCTGTGATCCGGGGCGGTTTCTCCATGACAGCAGGTGCGACTGCACTTGGCTCATGGTGCTGATCTCAGGTTAGATATGGGCTTCCAGGCTCCCCAGTGGACTGGGCACTGGGGGCTCTGGCGACAGTCCTCATCCCGTCCCTCCCCTGTCAGCTGTGCTGGAGGACCCATGCACTGCCACTCTCCAGCAAGCTGGCAGTGTGGGGGATTGCTGAGCACTGTAATCTCCCCCCCACTTCCAGCCCCATTGTAGCCAATCTCTTAATAAGATAGGGGCCCTCCCATGCCCAACCACACAAGTAATTTCACAGGTGGCAGCAGTGCTGGGGGGGCTGGAGCATGGCCCCACATCTCTGGCAGGGTGTCTGAGGGCAGCATGGGCTCTGCTGTAAGTCCAGGGACCCTTTGCCCAGTTCTGCACCTTCCTTTCCCTTGCTGGGACAGGAAAGTACAGCCTTGCATGGCTGCTGCGTTCTTCCAGCCTTGAACCATCTTAAACCCCTTGCACAGTACTATGAGCGAAGTCCTGGCCCCAGCAAAGTCCCAGGCAAAGCTCCCAACTGCTGCCCCTGGGCCCAGGATTTCACCCTCCTGGAAGTGGCATTTGTTTCATGTCCTGGGACACGCCAGGCTCTTAGAGCAGTGTTTGAATGGGTGAAAACCAACCCTGGTCTGTCACTGGCTTTGACCCTTTATTTGATGCTTTATTTACACCATAGACTCATAGACAAGGAGGGTTGGAAGGGAGCTCAGATCCAGTCCAACCCCCTGCTTAAAGCAGGACCATCCCCATCTACGTCAACCCAGACAAGGCTTTGTCTGGCCGGGTCTTAAACACCTCCAAGGATGGAGACTGCACCACTGCTCTGGGGAGCCTAGTCCAGTGCTTCACCACCCTCCTAGCAAGAAAAGTTTTCGTAATATCCAACCTCAACTTCCCTTGCTTCACATTGTGTTCGGCTAATATCCAGTGATAGCCGTGGAGTGGTTTAGTGCAGGGAGCTCTGGCCTTTCCCTGGGCTGGGATCCGGTCGCATGCAGGGTTGTAGCTAGCGCAGTTTTCCTCCCAGTGGCGTGCACAGCTCCACATCCTGTGCGATCCCTGGCTTGTTGGCAGGGAAGGTTTGGTGCTGAGCACGTGTCTGCTGGTGTCAGTAGAGCCAGAGCCAGAGATGATGCCCAGGCCCCCTGGCGTTCAGTCTGGTTTGTCTGCAAGAGGACCAGCTTCTGCCGCAGAGCTGGGCGAGTGCTGGGAGCTCCCAAGGCCCAAGCTGCCGTCCTGTGCATGTGCTACATGTTCAGCCAGGTGCCGGTCAGGTGGCACCATCGGCTTCCCTCCATCCTGCTGTTAACCATGGAGCCATCCACATCCCCACTGCCACATCTTTTTGGGGCACGACTGCCTCCAGCCTTGGACCAAGACACAAGGAAGCCATGACACTGCGTGGACCCCTCCGTCTCTTTGGGCGGTTACGCCCTGACTTATCCATGTGATTTTTACCAGGCCTTGTGCCTGACTTTTTTTTCCGAGCCGCAGGTGATTAAAGGCCTTTTCTGTATTGCTGTCTTGGTGTGCTTGCATTTGGGGCGGGTGCCTGCTTGATGCTGGCTGGCTCTGGCCCAGCTGAGCAGGTTCATCTTCTTAAATGACCAAGTCTACAGTCGGTCTGGTCCTGGGTTGTCTTGCACCAGTGGGAGCCAGGCAGGATCCGTAACGGCAGGGAATTTTGGCCCTTGGTATCACCTGCAGTTGCCATGCGCAGACTAAGTGCCAGCACTGTGGTACCTTTAAATGCCCTGTTTTATTCCTGGCCAGTACCCGGTGTCAGAGCCACAGCCTTGGGGAGAGGCCCTGCTGTGGCCTGCTCGTGACTGGGCTGTCTCCTCTGCACCTGACCTGCTCCCAGCAGCGTTGGCAGCAGCGATTCCCCGCCAAGCCCCTTGCATCGCCATGCACGATTGTGTTTAATGGCTGTCTACCTGCCCCCCTTACTATCTGTCCTTGCTTCACTGGGTGCTTCCCTGACGAGTTCCCCATGGCCTTGTGGCACTGATTTATGCTTTGTGTGCCCTGGAGGGGCGAGATCTCTGGGCTGCTTTGTGCCCTTGCACGTGACCACGGCTTCACTTGGGGTCATCGCTTGAGCTCCCTTCTATCCTGTCGGGGCGGGAATGTCGAGGAAGAGGAAAGCTAGGTCGCAAGGGTTTGTCTTTGTTGTGGATTTTCAAGCCTGGATGGTGGAGCCGGTGACTGGAGAGTAGCCAATCTATGGAAGAACGGGGTTGGGGAAAGTGATCCTGGTAACCCAGACTCCTCTATCTGATCTCAGTAAACTCCAGGTTTCACAGCACACCAAGCTTGGAAGGCAAGAAAGATGCAGAAGGAAATAGGGGATAAAATGCAATGTCAGTTTGATCCCATCAGACTAACCCAATCTCTGCTTGATGACCCGTTTTCTAGACAAAGGATGCGCCCTAGATCTGATCTGCCTGGACGTCAGGAAAGCGCTTGATAGGATGCTTCCCGGGGGATTAGTAGTTAACTGGACTGGCCCAGGAATCAGAAAGTGAGGTAGGAATAGGGGGGGCACTGGGCTTTGCCCCAAGAGGAGTCATCAGGCCAGAGGGAGGCTGCAAGCAGAGATCCTCAGGGCAGGGTCTTGGGATGGCTTTTTGTAATAGCTCGATAGAAAATGAACTATCTGCTTTTCAAGTTCCTATCAGAAGCGCTTCTGCATGCGGGAGCTGGCTAGTAAGGTCTGGGCTGGGGGTCAAGTCCTGATCAGATGCTTGACACCGAGGAAGCCAGAAGTCCCCTATTGCGTTCCCCAGGGACTGCTGCTGTGGGGGCAGAAACAATGGGCCTTGAACCTTGCCCCCAAATTCCTGAAGCAGGAAAAGTCCCCCAGAGCCCAGGGTGAGGCTTGGTGGGGACACACAGCCCCAAATCTGCTGCTGGGGGCTTCACGCCTGCCCAACACATTGGCGACTCGGGGGCCAGTTCCTGGGGAAGTCCAGGCCTGCAGGGAGCTGGGCACCATGTGCGGAGGGTGGCTGCCTTGGGGATGCTGCTCTGTTTATGCTCCCACATACTCCTGTTTACTTGGGGGTTCCTCACCCTGGGCCATTGCTCTCAGGTGTGTGTTGGGAGTTGTCCCTGGTGTAGGGACACAGCGGGGGTAAAGTGCATGCGTGCGTTTCCCCCACCTCCACCTGGACACGGGAGGAATGGGCCTGCCCACTGGTGGGTGCATAGCTCACTTGCCGGGGGTGTTCGCCATCTGCTTTTCTGCAGGTGGGGGAAGCTGGGCAGCGAGGACCTGCCCTTGACCTGCCAGCGTGGTTGGTTAGTGCAATCTAGCTTCCACCTGCTGCAGGGGAGCGTGCACGGTCACAGCAGGTTGCCGGGTCACCCGTCTGCTCACATTCTCTGCCCATTACTTCACCACATCCCTCCACCTCGGTGCTCCATAGCAAAGCTTGTGGCTTCAGCCTCCCCAGCTGCAGCCGCCACTCTTAAAACATGTGAGATGCTCTTCTGCCTGCATCTCCCAGGTACCGCGTGAAACCTTGGGCGAGCAGAGCCTTGCCAGGCAGCACTGGCTCTGTTACACCTTCAATAGCACTGGGCATGCCAGGGTTATCCCTGCACCTTTGCACCTAAGCGTCCTTTAGGCACGTAAAGCTCCCTTCGGCTGCTGCTTTCCTGGGCCTGGTCCCACCGTGCCAAGACAGCTACTACCCCTTTCCTGCCCAAACCATCTGGTGCGTTGGCAAGCTGTTAACATGGTGGAGGTGTGAGGAGCCTCCTGTGCTGGCGCCTTTGCCTCAGCAGGACTTTAGCTGCTGAGAGCACCTTTCCCCCAGGACTGAGAAGCAAGTGTTGAGGGTTGCTGCATCCACCCACCCCGTCTCCAACTCCACCTGCTGAGATAAACCTGAGCAATCCTGGTTGCCTACCTGGACTGCCCACAACTGCAGCTGCCTTCGGTTTCCATTGCCCTTGGCACAACGGAGGCAAAACCAGAATAAAGATGGGGCTGTGGTTGCTGGGATATGGGCTCAAACCCCCAGCTCCCGTCAGCCCCTGCAGCGCTGCCCATCTCGCCATAGGAGATGGAGTGCAATTTGGCCCTTCCTGGCTCCCGGGCAGAGGCTGTCCTCTTAAGGTCTCCAGCACACAGATGCGTGGGTTCGTTCAGATGAACTTTACTGAAGTACGTCAGGCACAAGCAGGGGTGCGAGGCTACCGTGGCAGGTGAGGGAACAAATGTGAGGAAGCACCTTTCAGTCTGCTGGCAGGACGAGGGGGAGCTGGGCTGGGGTCAGGGAAGGAAGAAAGGAAGTGTGGAGACGTACCATGCTGCCCAAGGTATTTATTACATGAACACAGAGGAGTCGCTCCCTTCCCTCCACGCTGCGCATCTGAGGCTGCACCAACAAATACGACTGACTTCCTGGTGGAACAGGCTCTTAGCAGAACTTGCTCTTCTTAACCGGGGGGAGAGGCTCTCAGCTCCCATGGGTCCTTCTCTCAAAGCAAAATGATTTGTTATGCAGTTAGGAGGAGACTAAACAGCAACCCAGCATCAGCTGGAAATGCGCAACCGAGAAAAACCCAACCGAATGGAGCCTCTGTACCAGCCATGCCCTTGTCGTGCACGTGTTTACTGTGTGAGTGCTCTCGGTGCTGCCCTTGTACTTCATGCAGCGTCCCAGGAACATCGAGCAAACCCCCGCCCTCTGGCATTGCAGACAGGCACTACTTATGCTGAAGGTATGGCACTAAAGTACGTTCCCTACTGCAGCACATTGCTTTCTGCAAACTGGGGAGCGCATTGCGAGACAGCCCCTGCCATGCTGAACCCACTTGGATCTGGAAAGCAAACCTGATGCAAATCATGCAAACAGAAGGGGGGAAAGTGGAATTTGCTTATGCAAATGAGAGTCTGTGGCCTAAATCCTCTCATCTCAGTGTGCTCCCTAGTGGCAAGTGTCAACCACGAAGACGCACAGAATTGCTGCAGGCCGGGATCAAGTCAGGAGCAGTTACTGTCTCTGGGAATTACGTTAAGTCTGTTTCTCCCCTTTTGCATCCCAGGAAGGGTTAAGAGAATATGCTTTTTAAGGTTGGGTTAGATGGTGTAGCCAAACGGCTACGCCCAGGTGTAGCACTGGAGAAAGGGAGCAGAGGGGAGAGGGTCGTGGTTTCAGCTGAAGGCAAGCTACCCCCCGGCTTCCTCTTCCAGGCTAAGGAATTTGATTAAATTAGGCTGTAAAGTGAATGAGCAGGTGTTCAACAGTGCTTGGTCCCATCAGTGGCCAGGGGCCCTGTGGAGCCCGCTGGCATGTGAAGAACCGTCTTGAGCCCTTCTGATGCAGGTGGACTGGAGGGCAGCGGGTGCAAACTGGGAAACAGGCACTGATTTACAAGGCCACGCACACACGAGGGGCTGCACTAGCATTGCCCCGGGCATGCAAGTAGGTCGGAGTCTGCTTAAACTGCAGTAAAAATGGAACAGCTTTATCATCTACTACAGGAGGCTTTGCCCACTGGCACTCCCTGCCTTCAGCTCTTCTGTTACAACAGCCAGCATCCCAGGCTGTGTGTGTGCTGCCACCTACACATCTCCCTATTTCTAAGCCATTGCCTGCCTTCGCAGCAGCCTTCTTCTCACAGAAACTCCCCTTAAAAGATGCAATCAGCAGCATTTGGCCCCAGTTCCAAAAGGCAACAGCCTCCTGCCCAAGAGTGCCAGGGGTGCTTGGCAAGGCAACAGAAGGACGGTCTGAGAGCAGACAGGACATGCAGCCCCAATGCCGTTCGCCCAAGCTGTGGGCACTGTCAATTTATGGCGGGCAGGGCTGTATTTTTCAAAGCAAGAGCAGTGCTGTAGTAAATATTTCTCTATATACTAATGGAAGGATTCTTGTTCTACATGGAGGCAACACTTAGACTAAGGCTCTACATACAAGTTGACGAGGGTTCAGGTCAGTGTGAATTTAGGAGAACGGCCATTCTGGAACAAGCCCCTGCACGCGCATTTATTCGGGAATGGGAGCACCTCTTCAGCAGTGGATTGGCAAAACCATAGAAAGGCAATCCATTGCAGAGTAAGTGCTGGCATGAGCAGCGCTCTGGAAAATCTGTGCAGACAGTCCTTTGAAAGGCTTGTCCTTGCCCCGCTGGAAACCAAGATACATACGGCTTCCTGGTGTTTCTGCAGCGGTGCCGGACCTGCACTGATACCGCCCTGCTGTAAAGCTGTACTGAAGAGGAACTGACCTGCGCCCCCGCCTTAGCGTTGGGTGCAGCTGCAGCTCTTCCAACGGGGCATCGCTCCCAGCCTTCCTGTTCCCCTAAGCAGAGAAGCCACCGCTCACCCAGGCATCAGACCCTCACCCAGGGGATTCTCTTTGCCAACATTGCTGCGAATCTTTTCCACTGCAGCCTAGAACTGACGGATATGTCAGAGCCCGGTCAGGAAGCCCCTGAAGAGCACGAGACTGTTCTACCGTCTCCTCCTCACCTGGTGCCCACAGGCTGCACCAAGCAGTTGTTGCAGCAAATCTAGTGCTAGGGTGGATAGAAAGCACCACCACATGAAAACGGTGAACTGGAGTTTCCAGATTTTTTTTCAACACAGAGGCAGGGATGTGTTACATGTTACATACACACAAGCTTGCTGCATTTGCGGTCCGCATGGGTTTCCAAAAGGGTAGGCTATAAACACTCCTCCCCTCCCCAACCTTTTATAAGCAGCACAATGTCTGCATCAGTCTTTGATAGAGACAGGTGGCTTTTTATAGTGCAGAAATAAAGCAACTTTCATCCTTTTAACTAGGGGGAGGGATCCCAGCACATCCAGGTAGGGCACAAATTAAAAACAGGGTGGGTTGAAAAAAATACCACCAAGCTAAACCATCCAGCCTCCACTCCCATCGACACCCCTCAAGTGCAACGTGCACAGGAGGAAAACGCTCTTGCTACTTTGGTAACCTGACTCCCTTCTCCCTCCCTGAACAAAGCTCCTCGTCCAGGTATTGGGCTGCTACGCTGACTACACAACACTGCTGCACTCCCTTCTATGCACAAGTGCCTAACGCAGGGGCAGGACTTGGTTCTTAGCAGTGGTCTGAACAAAACCCAGTACTGAAAAGGAAAAAGCACCAGGTGACACCCGTCCCCAAACCCACCTGGCCCTCAGGAGGCACACACATGGCGTTTACAGTGACAGCAGCCGACAGGAAAGCCAGCGGCATTAATAACGTAATGCTGGAGTGGAACGAGGAGCTGTGGAAGCCGACGGCTGCTCAGAGACCTGCTAATGCCAACATCCGGATATAGTTTATTGTCCTCTCATCGAGTGCATTCATAGAGAACATGGACTCTAAACAAGTTACCGAGGAGCATGGGAGGACCGGCCAGCCGCTACACTAAGCATGTGCTATGGAGGTTAGTGTTAGCATTAACCAATGGAACAAACTGGGGATGAAGGGGGTTGGGAAGGGGACCCAGTGAAACCTCAGCCCAGCCAGCAATCCAGAGGATATCACCATACATTTAAATAAATAATTCTAGGGGTACTGTGCACCTCCTCAGTGCATTTTGCCCAAAGATGGATAAAAAGCAAGAGGTTGTGTCTGGCTGACAACGGATGGTCCCTTCGCTTGGCCGTGGGAGAAAGGAGGAAGCCGCAGCTTCAGCTCTTACAGAGAGGACGCAGCCTTGTAAACCTTGAGAGTACAAGCAAGCGCAGGCGAGCCAGAGCATGCGAGCGTGCCTGCCCCCACCCCGGGAACTTGCTTTGAGAGGAGCAAGGGTTATTAAACCAGACCCTAAAAGAACAACTGTCTAGTACAGGCACAGCCAGCAAGGGGCTGCTTGGTTCTAAATCCATGCAGGACCAACTACAGCTGAGCCACGAATGCTCCAGCCGGGCAGCCGCTGTCCGGACCCCACGCATCAGGCTACAGATTCACGCGCCGCTCCTGCTATGCTATTCCTTATAAAAAATAAAAATAAAAACAACTTAAAAAATCCCCCAAAATGAACAGGCCAGTGCGGGATGCTTCCTGCTGACCCAGAGCCGGGACCTAAAGGGGCTCTGCTATGGATTCCCAGGGCTCAGATGCTCCCGGGTGGGGTGTAGGGCTCCCCAGCTAGCATCTGACTGGGTGGTCAGCAGCTGTCAGCTCCCTTTTGGCGAGTTCACTAAGCTGTTCCCTTTCTCTAGAGCAAGGGCTGTGGCCACAATATCAAAATTAGAGATGAGAAAGAAAAGAAAAGAGCAATGGGTCATTCTGGAGAAGTTCAGGCCAATGTCCCCCCGCTAAAGTAACAACAATAATGATCGTCCTCATGTCCTCCTGTTCCTCCCCTCCTTGCTCAGTGACATTTGGGGCATGCTGGCGCACACGCACACACAGAGGCAGCTCCTCACAGACACCCGGACTCAGAAAAGCGAGTTTAGAAGTGGAGCGAGTCTCTGAAGAGACCCAGGACGCAGCCCAGGACTAGAAGGTTTTCCGATGGATGGCGCGGGCTCCGTCTTCTTCATACTCCTTCTTTGAAACCCACATTTTCTTGAAGGTGTCCAGTGAGGCCAGGATGGAGCCCCTGGGGAGGAAAAGGCAAGCATGTGAGCAGCCTGGGACAGGCCAACAGCTCTCCAGGCCGCAAACTCCTGCTCGTTCCCTGCAAAGCAGACAGCCCCTGCCCCAGAGACCCAGTCAATCTGGCTCCCACCAGCTTTGGGACCCTACCGATTAATTTGCCAACCTGCCACTGTCCCCATCTGCTCCATGGGGGAGCCGAAGCCAGGCAGTCAGGAAAGACAGCGGTGTTATTCTACAGCCCCATACACTGGACAGTGAAAAACTACAGCCCCAACACTCCTCTCGCTTCGGTCTGAATCCACAGCAACTCCTTGCAGCACCACTGGGGAGTCAGGCCTAAGGGCACTTGCCTCAGAGACCCAGGAACTGCCCCTACCAATAGGCTGGCCATTAAAATACCAGGCAACAGGGCAAGAGATGGCAACAAGTTCGCACAGTCAGTGAGGGGACAGACTGGTCCCTGGCTGCAGTCCAGCATGGCTTTGCGAGGCACTATGGCCAGATGCACGGAGCACAACACGGCTATCATGGCTCTAGGCCCAGTGTACAGGAGTCGGGATGGGAGTACTGTAGTGCAGTGCGGGCTCAGAGAACAAAGTGCTTTACATACCCAATCCATGTGGAATATAGCCTCTCCTGAGGAGCGGATATCTGTAGGAGAGAGGGAGCACTTCCATTACTACCCTGCCAGGATGCCCACTGGTCCCCACATCTCTGAGATACCCCAGGTCTCCCCAGTATATCACATTAGGCAATCCTCCACCATCAGGTTACGCTGCAAGTGGACCCCAATGGTAAGAGGTTTGTAGACCATGCCCCTGCGTGAGGGCTGCGTGGTGGCACCTTGCCAATGAGATGCTGCTCAAGATCCTAAAAGAGCACCTGGGCTGCTTCGGAGAGGCCAGTACCAAGCAGCCACCTCAACCTTGCCTGTTATATGGACTCGGGGGACACCAGACCAGGCCAGGGGACACAAGGGAGCCTGGAGGAGAGGGTGTGCCTACCCTTATTTTGACGTCCTTGGGGGCCAGCTTCTTCACTTCGCTCAAGAGCCTGTCGCCGAAACCTGCGCAGAAGAGGAAAGGGGCTGTCAGCCTGGGCCACTGAGTGACTACAAATACAGCAGAGCTTCATCCCACAGGCATCTGACGAGCAAGCCCTGCAGTCCTATGCACAGACATCTGGGCAGACTATGCAGCAAACCAGTCAGTTGATCCACGCACCAGAAATGCCGGGGCTTTGCTAGATGCTCTGCGTGGCATCTATCATGCCTGGCTCCCATCTCAGTTTGTCCCTGAGCACTACCAAAGTGCCATTACTATGTGACCCACTGCATGGCACTGCAAGCAAGGCAACTCTCTGTAAATGTAGTAGATCGGTAGCTGGGATCAGGGGAGTCTGGGCATGTCAGAAGCCAAGATGTCCCTTGGAACAGATGCCACAGCTCCTCCTGCATATTTAAGGGAGCAATCCTAGAACAGAGGAGTGGACGAGCAGAAAGAGCCTGGTTCAGGCAAGGTGAGGCCGGGGGCAGTGGAAAGGACACCGAGCCAGGAGACAGCTTCACCTGGCACAGGTAGGAGCCAGACACCTCTGAAAGGTCTACAAGAGCCAGAGGAATGATCCAAAGGAAGGGAGGAGAGCGAGAGAGAGACAGACAGACACGCAGAGGGGGAGGACTAGAGCTAACGCGATCAAACGTGAGGTTGGCAGGATTATCAGGAAAACAGGAAATTTCTTTAGGCCCCAGACCTATCATGGGTTAACACCAGTACAGCTTACTTTGGTGTACAAGACCAGTGTAACCTACACGAGCGACTGGAGCCGACAACCAGCCTCCAGGGGCAGCTGCCAGAGCTAGTGCTGTTGCAGCACCTTGCTGCAAGGTGGCAGGGAGCCAGAAATGGCTGGTTTGTTAGCAGGGGTGGCCAACTGTGGCAGACAGGGCAGGAAGCAGAAAGCCAAGCAGGAGACTGCCTCAGGGAAGGGGATCAGAGTGGCAGAGGGTGCAGGGCTAATCTGCAGCCCGCCAGCAAAGGTTGGTCTTCTTTGGTGTAAAGCAAATGGCAATCCTAGGACAGGAGCTGACACGCGACACTTTCCCAGCAGCGTTACAGCAGTTCGCAGCACATAGGCAAGGCAGAGAGATGGGAGCAAGGACCTTTGAAGAGCGTGGAGCCGCCGGACAGCACGATGTTGGAGAAGAGCGTTCGCCTCAGGTCCATGTCAGATTTCTGAATGGCGAAGACCAGCACCTCGTGGAGCCCTTCGCATTCCTCTCCGATCAGGTCTGGCCGGAACAGCAGCTCTGGGGCTCGGAAACGGGCCGGGCCAATCTGCAGCCAACACCAGGGAACAAAGCATCCCAATTCAATTCTGTACCAAGGGTCCCATGTTTTGGAGCTTCTTAGCTGAAGCTTCAGAGTAACAAAGTCTGAATGCTCATGTCTGGGCTCTGAACTGTTAGCCTGGTGAAGAGAGGGCTGCTCCCTTTAACACAGGCTAACCTGGAATCCTTTCCACTGTATAGCTCTGTGGCTCTAAAATTACTACTTCATGAGAGGAAAAACAGATAAAGTGATTTGTCCAAGGCCATTCAGCAGCAGAGCTTGGACCAAAAGCGGAGTCCAGATTCCCTAGTTAAGTCTGATATCTTAAGCAAGACCCCGTACACCTCCTCCCTCTGAGACATCATCAGGAAGGTTTTACCCTTTAGGAGCCTCTCGGTTACTCCTCAAAACGATCATTACTTGCACCACTAGAGAAGTTCAAAACCACATCTAGAATTGCTCCTGGATTTGCGCTGAGCTGATGCCCACCCACCCTCTGTGCCTGCCCTGCCTGGAAGTTCACCAGCACAGACCCCTGCACTGTGGAGCACCTGGATCTCAGGCTCATTAGTTTTACTGCAAATCAAACACCATTAACTGGGAACCACGTTTTGACTGATCACAGATTCTGGCAAGAGCTGCAACCCAAAGGAGGAAGCCACACTCGGGCAAAACTTAAAATGTCCTGAATGGTTCCTGTAGCTCTTTAAAGAAGAAATAGTCAGGTAACTCTTCTAGCCGGTTAGAAGAAATCCTTTTCCACCTGCAACCATGTTCTATCGAGAGATCCCACCACAGCCAGGGGCAGCGAGAAAGCAGAACTCCCTGTGAGCCATCACCCAGCACGTGTCCTTACAAACCTCAATAGTGCTTCCATCCGGTAGGTAGTACTGGGCTTTCTCGGTCTCCAACGTCTCATCCTTCTGCGGGTTTATTGACAGGTAACAGGCACGCTGCAGGTAAAGAGGGGCAGGAAGAGGAATGTTGGTCAGGACATTTCCAATAAACTCTTCTGTTGAAAGAAAATGAGGGACTTTTGGATAAAACCCCCAGGATTTTCTCTGGAAGAAGAGAAATTTCAGCAACATTTTCTACCAGGAAACCACATTTCCTTTGGGGCCCACCTGAATTGAAACACAGTCTATGTCAAGCCACTGCACAGTGCTTGTGGCAGTCAGTTCTGGGTAACTCATGCCCCCATGGGCTTTCTGTCCCAGCTGGACTAAGTTTGCCATGGTGCAGCACAGCTTGCCGTAGGGGCTCACAGAATATGTGCTCCAATGGATTTTTCTGCTGTTTTTATTCTGCAAGAAGTTTTGCTGCTTTGACTTTGTGCTGACCTGGGCCATGCACAAATGTGAATCTCTCACTGCTATGTTTCTACCACCTCTGAAGAGTCATTGGAAAGGAACTGGAGTTCACTGCAAAGCAAAAACGTCCTGACTAGACAGGCTGAAGCCTTCTTACAACTATTTCCCTCTCTCTGAAACCCCTGACATGCCCTGCCCTAGAAGGTCAAATGAGTGACAACTGTTTTGTGCTGTGAGACTGAAAAGGCAGCAGCTTGGGGTTCTCTCTCTCTGCCTTTGGGTGCCGAACCTTTGCAGGGAGGAGGGGTCACCTTTTCAAGCTTGTCTTTAGAACAACAAGCACTAAAAGCTTATTTTTAAAACAGAAGCTAAGATTGTTATGTCATCACTCGTCTCCAAGTGCCAGCGCTTTACGTAAATCAGCATCGTGAGACCCAGAGAAGCAAATACAATTCTCTGGTATTGCTCTTTGGCCACTGGAAATGCCAGTCCACAGGCTGCTGGAGAGAGACCGTGTGGAAGTCTCCCCCCATTCTGAAACCAGCACTGACAAATTAGAAGCAGCAGCAGGTGGTAAGATTAACTCCCCACGTTTGGTCATTGAGCTGAAAATCATCCAAGGACTTGAGATAAAGGAGGAGCTCTGGTAGCACGCTATGCAGCTGTACGAAGCCCAGGTCTCTGAGTAAAAACAGATCATCCCATCACTACCCCTTACTAGCAAGACATCGCAAGCAGTGAGCAATCCCCAATTCCCCCGAGACTGACTCAGAAATTTCAAGGACTGACCCTGCGTGCACACGTGCGATTTCAAGGACTGCGCTGAAAAACTAATCAAAGAGAGTTCTCTCCGCCTGAGAACTGTTCCCCTCACACTAACCTAACCAACACGGCTTAATCACAACATGAAGACCCTCTGTGAGGAACAAGAGAGTTCAAGTTCAGTGCCCCACTTTGGGGGCAGGGAACAGAGGGTGCCCCCTCTGCTAAGGGGCCAGTTAGGACTGTGCTTCTCATCCCCCATTCAGAGGGCAAAGAAATTAACCGCAGGCAGGGGAAACACCAAGGAAGCCAGGCACCTCTTTGATGGTCTTGACGATCTCGAACTCCGACGTGGTGTGGAAGTCGTAGCCTTCTTTCCGGAGATAGAGGCGAAGGAAGCGGGAGACATCGCGGCCGGCGATGTCAATCCTCATGATGGAGTGAGGCATTGCGAAGCCCTCGTAAATAGGGACGGCGTGAGTCACGCCATCCCCGGAGTCCAGCACCACCCCCGTGGTTCTGCCCGTCGCGTAGCTACGGCAAAGGGGGGAGGATCACATTTCAGAGCAAAAAATGCTAGTGGGCTTCACAAGGATTGACAGCGGACCCAACCCAACGGAGACCCTGACCATACTACCCCCCCACCATGTGCACTCCAGATTTTAGAAGAAACCTGATTTCTCCCCGTGCTACTGTTGTGTTTGAAACAAGGCAGCAGACAAAAGCAGAGCCACTTGCAAAGCTTCCTGCTCAGAACAGATTGAGAACATCCTGCTTCAAGAAATCATGCAGTGGAAGTGCTTGTAGATGGACTGGAGCAATCATTTCTGGTCAAGCTACTCAAACACCATCACCTGCTCACAGTCCCCCACCTCAGGGCCATCCTTTTGATTGGGTTGAAGGGAACAACTCGTCTCACCCAGCTCTCACCCCTCCACTGATAAGTGTGTGCTATCAGTAGGTAGCACAAGCCCCGAGTTCTCCTCACCCGGGAGAGTGGCTGTTAACACCAGGCCATACAGAAAGGTTCATGGCTCTGATTAGATCAGCTCCCCTCATGGTAGCACTTTAGTCAAGGTGCTGGGCAGCTGCCTGCATTTTAGCCACTGCAGACCCCTGCTCTGGGCAGGTCTAGACCACATGGCGGTAAAAGGGTAGTAAGCCAGGACAGCTGTTTACACTCATGCTCCCACGGGTCAAGCTGAACAAATGCTAGGAGGAACCTGCAGCTACTCGATGCCCCGCTCTGGCCCAGCCCTACCCAGTGGGGCCTAGATGGGGAGGCTGAGCCTGCTGGAGCCTAAGGAGACTCTGGGTCTTCTGGGCCTGGCAGTGGTGACCCCTGTTTTTGGATCCAGAGGTCTGAGGTTTAATCCCCATTGCAAAGGGTAGGTTTTACAGGGAGCTGAAGTGTGTGCACCTCACACGAACAAGGCCTGGGAAGCTTGGGGCTCTAAAGAGCTGGTGTCGGCACAGCCTAATGGTTCAAAGGTTTCTAACTCCCCCAGAAGCATCACAATTTGCTGAGCAGCAAATTCCACCCCCTGATTTGGGGGTCTCAGATTCACCCCCTGCAACACAACCAGACATTTCAAGAGCAACCTCCCAAAGGAGTAGTTCCCAGGACAGCCTCGTGCTCGTGTTTCTCCCCTTCTGGCTGGGCTGTGGGGAGAGGGCAGGTACTTACAGGCTGAGTACAGCTTGCATGGAGATGAACAGCGCCGGGACATTGAAGGTCTCAAAGAAAACCTCGGCAGCTCGCTCTCGATTCTTACGGGGGTTCAGGGGAGCCTCCGTCAGGAGCACAGGATGCTGGATTAGAAAGAGAACAGAGCCCAGCTCAGCAACCCAGTCGAGGAGTTCGCTGCCTGGTTCTTCGAACACCTCTACACTGCCTCTATGCAGAGAGGCATGTCCCACCCCCCTGCACCTACTCAGTGCATGTCAGAGCCTGGAAATTCAGCAGTGAAAACAAGTTAATGCACCCTGGGCATGCATCAGGGAGCAGATGAGACAAAGGCCTGACAACAGCTACAGGCATGTGCTCAGGACCACACTAAAGTGGCTGTACTTCTGGATTATGGGGCTTTGGCATAAGTGACAGCATGCAAGAGGCCTGTTGCCCTTCGCTCACCACAGAGGCCAGCTAGGCACAGCCTTTGGATGCCCAGGCAGTGATCAGACAGCAACATTGCTCCCTCAGCCCAAAGCCCTAGATGAGTCTGGGTAACTGGAAATAGGTCCCAAAACAACTCCTGTTCATCCATTTTAAACTACTGGGTAAAAGCAGCAGCCCAGAGGTGACAGAGGTGAAAGACTGCAAGGGAGGGAGGACTTCTACCAGAGCTCTGTCAAGCTGTGAAACCACCTGGGAGGGTGGAAACACCTCAGGATCTGGGGCAGATAAAGTGGGACTGGGTGAAGTCCAGGGAACAACCCTGCCCTGTCAGAGATGGACAAGATGATCTAATGGGTCTTTTCCCCATGCGTCTGCTCAAAGCCATGTCACTACGTTTCCAACAGAGCTGGAAAAATACAACAAGCCCTGACTAGGTGTCACAGGCTGCAGTTCATCCTCCAAATAGTTCTGAAGCCCTGCAAAGCCACTTCCAGCACAGTCTGCTCCTACAGACAACGCCCAGGCTTTGCAGCTACTGTCACTGCTCTGCAGACTGAGGGAACAAGGTAGTCTCCTCACTCACTTCAGTCATCATTAACAAGCATTGGCTGCAGATTTGCAACAGAGGCAGAACAGGAAAGGTTAGAGCTCCCGCCCCATCAGGGACACATTAACACATGTGAATGCAGAGTGTGAACACTGGATCTTCAGGCAAGCTGTAACTTTAGAGTACTTGAGGCTTCTGGTCAGGTACTTCTCCAACAATGTGTTACAGTAAAATGATAATGTCCGACTTAATGACCAACTTAATTACATAGGCATGTTCAGAGCTTCTGCTGAGAAAAGCAAGGGAAAGAAGCCAGAGCCTAGACGCCCTGACGCTGTACATATTGAGCTCTGGGCCCATGTGAAATACAGCAGCTCACCTCCTCCGAGAAGGTCTGAAGCTGGTCTTTTGAATACACGTACTGCCAAATGCGCTCCATGTCATTCCAGTCCTTCACGATGCCATGCTCCATGGGGTATCTGATTGAGAGGAGGCCTCTGTGCTCCTAGCAAATAAAGCACAAGACCACAGAGATTTCCAAACAAGCTCGGCACCATCTGTTAGGCAGTGATATCACCGCGCCTCTGACAGACGGATCTGCTTGTCAGAAATCCCACTGCATGACAATGAGATGCTGTATTTAAAGAGGCCGGAAGGAATTTTAAAGGGCAAGGACTGTACATTAGTTACAACCTCCCTTCCCACAGATATTTGCCCAGGATAAAGAAGGGATTTTCTCTCTAATATATGCAAATCATATCCTGACTCCCGATTTTGCAGTGGGGATTCCTGCAGGGAACTCCACCACAGAACTCCTCCAGCTGCTCCACAGCTATCGATGAACTGGTGCGTTAGCTTCCTGATGGAAAGCTGCAATGGGGATCAAACTGGGTTTTTACAAGAGTCCAATTTCAGCCCTGAACAAGTCCATTTGGGAGGGCATAATCCAGAATCCACACAGTCCAGGAACCGTGCAGCAGCCTGTGGGGAAACACAGGCCTCTTGCTCGGTTCCTGGCTTGGCCTGGGAAGACCCAAGGTGAGGCAAGATCTGGATTTTAAGGGTCCTGAACACAAGGAGTGCAGCTGCAGACAAACAAAGCCCCATCACTTGCTCTGCCTCAAGAGGCACAAATACAGATGTGCAGAGAGGCTGCAGGCAGTTGCTCGTCTCCAGGAACCTGCTCCCAAATCTCAGGAGCACGTCACTCCTCTGGCAAGGGCTGCAGCTGTCCTGTTACCCAGGGCACATGTCCAGAAGTGAATGAATGCCACCAAGAATTCAAGATTTCATGGGAGTTCAGGGAGATGGGAGTAATTCTGCACACTGGTTTGAGGCTGAGATGCTAAGCTGGAACTGCCCCTTCTCAGGAAGTATCACAGAGCCCTCAATGACCAGGTCTGATAAAGACACAGAGGAAAGGCACCTCCATAAGCAAACCAAAACAGCATCCTTTAGCCAGCCTAGGAATGTGGACAGTGGAAACAGGTGCCAGTTTCTGAGCCACTGTAACACCTTTTAGTGAATCAAGCAATGACACTGGGCTTAGGGGTTGGAGGGCACAAACGTCAGCTTGGACTGGACTGAGCATGAGTTCCTTCCTTCCCACCCCACGCTCAATGCCAACACAGACTTCTATTGGCCTAACTGCTGCACCTCGTGCACACGCACAGTGAGAGGTAGACGCAGTGAATATGTTTCCTTACCTCTGCTTTTGGCCCGATGAAAATGTCTCCTTCTAAAGCACCAGCCATAACACGCACGTGCTTTGGTCTGCCCACACTGAAAGGGAGATTATAGACGTTAGTGCTTCCCATGCTGTACTTCCTCTGTGCCCAAACACTAACCTCCAGGCTGCTCTCTTCTCTGGGAAGCAATTTCTACTCCCTACCCACCCTTCTCTCCCCCCCCCTCCTTCCTGGTCTCTTGTATTCATATTTCTCTCCTTATACTCTGCTTTCTGCACGTCCTTCCACAGCATCAGATGAAATAAAGTCAGGTTCACAAAAGCTTGTGCTCTCTCTATACATATTTCTATTTATTTATATACATTTATACACACACACATATATTTATGCATATATACATATACACACACAGAGCAAATATATATGTTTAAATATTTAAATATATTTAGCTAGTCTAAAAAGATGCATGTTTATACTGTCCTATGACTGATTTCAGACTAACATAATGACCTCTCTGTGCTCGTGGAAGGGACCAGGACACCCCGGTGTGAGCATGTCAGAGAGCTGTTTTGTGCACAAAGGTCCAAGCACTTGGGATCCTCTTGCAGGTAACACTCTCACTGACCTCCTTTAAAGTTGTACAGGAGCAAGGATGGTAGTGAGTTGAGACTGAAAACAAAGGTGGGCGAAAGTTAATTCCACCTTTGGCTTCCAAGTGCACTGTTTAGTCTTGCAACTTTTCAAGCAGATTCAGAATATTGAGGCACTACACAATAATGAACTAACAGGGCCAGCAACAGCCTCCCATCTTTCCAGTCTCTCAATTTACCTTCACGCCATTCTTCCCCTCCACATACCACACAAATAGTCCAGTACACACCAAGCACCCGACAAAATCAGGAGAGTACTTACTAGTTTGGAAAACAGTACTTCGGTATTTGATCCCCTGCAAAACCTGCTTTAATCACACCTGAGCCCTGTGGGAGGAACAGAGAAGGGAAAAAAAAATAGTAACTCTCGTTGAATGATTCTACGTTTCATTGTAACGGACTCTGTGCTCAGAACCATTTATTATGCCATTTGCTTAAGTGCAGTGGAACCACCCCTCTCCCTCTGTGCCAGACTCCATTGAGGATTTGTGGCCAACTCTTGATATCAAAAGATGCACGAAACTCAGAGGACCATGACAGGGTGCAAGTGCCAGCACACGCTGACCATGCCTTGTTCTCCAGGCCCGAGCGCAAGAGCTGGAGAATGCCATCAAATGCCATCAGCGCATCCAGCCATCACCTCTGCACCTGAGAAACCCCAAGCTGTCAGGGGCCATCTAGAAAGAGACATTTCTACTGCTACAGCGTCACAAGCATGCTGAAGTCTCAACTGACCCCAGCCCCAGAGGATGCCCAGTTTCATTTGAACAACATATCACTAGAGGAAACGGCAACATGGAGCAAAAGGGGCAGGCTTGGGCCAAAACCTCATCAAGGGTTAAATGCTTCTTGGAAGAGGAGACAAAGGCTTACAGGCGTCTCCGGCACACCGTGGAGGAAAGGCTGGAGATATGGGCGATGCAGACAGGAAGCGATCTTCAGTGGAGCAAGGCCACATGGAAGACAGGAAAAATGGAGTTGGACAGGGCTTTGGAAGTAATGGGGCTCCAGGATCAAAAAGCAAGGCAGTTCCAGACAGGGTAAAAACCTCTGGGCAGGTTGACAATTTAAAGCAGCTGTGGGGTGGATGGTGTGGCACCAGGAGAGGAGCAAGGCTGGAAGCAGAGCCCCACCACAGCAACAGCACGGAAAGCAGGTAAAACCGAGCACAGAGCATCTCCGGGGTGGGTGGCTGATCTTGCCCCATCCACCACTTCCCCTGCTGCTGCCAGCAGCTTCTCCTTCCCCACTTCGTCCCTCTGTAGGAAGAGGATCTTGAAAAAGTGAGTGGTCTCGGGGGATCTCCCGGGCTCTTCTGCAAGGGCAGAGCCTCACACAGCCTCCCTGGGTCAGCCCAGCAGCCCACTGAGGCCTGTTCACTGAAGCAAGAGGCTTTGTGGACGAGGACACGGTGCAGCCATTACACTGCAACCAGAGGGGAGCTGTGAGCACATGCCGGAGCGAGTCACGAATAACAGGGTGCTTGTGGAGACTGCAGTGAGCGGTTTGTAAGCCAGGAGGACTGTTCTGACAGCTGCAGGGGATTCCAGCTAACGCAGCGCTCCCGATCCCTGCAGCACCCAGCCAATGGGGGCACCATCAGTATCCTCACTATACAGCTGGAGACACAAGCCAGTCTGTCCAAAAATACTCAGCAAGTCAGCGGCAGAGTCCAGCACCCTGCCTGAACCATGCTAGCTCAGTCATCCCCTTCACGGGAGCCCTGCTCGCAGCAGTGGGCTGAGAGTCATCCGCAGATCACTACTTGCAGACAGAGGAACGGCCTGTGCAATAGGAAGGGTCTTTCTTTTCTTTTCTCTCTGCTAGCACACAGAGTGGCATGCCGAGTTCCCTCTGTGCTAACTTGAGGGCTACGTGCCTGGCGGGGAGACAATTTTGTCCTCTGTTATCCACCGTAGCTAACGCCGGATAAATGCAGCAGCGCCACCTCCTCCAGCCCCACTGCTGCAGTCTAGATAATGACTCAACTCCTTGCCAGCTTGCCCTGCTCTGGGGGACCAGTTTATGAAGAACAATGATGCTCCTATTTAACGCCGGACCGGAAACACCCTGTAGCCAGGCCGAGCTCGCCCATCACACCCTGGGGAGGCTCCAGCCCGCTATGTGTTTGTAACTGAAAAGTTCCAAGTCAGCTGAATGCATTTGTTCTTCAGAAACCTAAACTGGAGTTCGGTGGAGACTGGTCTTGCAGGACAGGACCCAAATGCAGTAGTTACTTCAAGGACCCTGCAACCACCTGGCCACAACTGTTCCCCATCTGCTGTATAAAAAGAGCAGACGGTGTTTCCCAGCCTGGTTAGCTTCTCCATAAAACACTTCTTCAAAACCAAGCTGCATTTGTTTGCTTCAGACCCTTGGATCTACGTAATCCTTTTCACAGTCCCTGTAGACCCCCTCAGAAAAGGATGTTAGTGGTAAAAAAGACCCCATCAGATTACAAATCAGTTCTGAAAGAAATAACTGGGGGGAGAGGTCTTGTTGCCCTGGAGAGCAAAAATAAATTGTTCTCCCTCACCCCCCTTCCATAGTAGTGCAACTTATTAAAACCTAAATTCCTTCCTCCTTTCACCACTTATACCAGCAGCACTTGCCTGTTTAGTCTGATAAAAAAAAAAATCTAAAGTTTTAAAATCTGTGAGAATAATTTAATCAAATCCCTCTGCCTATATTACCAGACTGTTGTTGGACTGCTCCACTTTGCAGGGGGGTTACGAAAATTCACTGAGAGACTGAACAGCATTTTCTCCATAGGAAGACATAAGAACAAGACCTGCCTTTTACTGGGTCAGGCCCTAGGTCCATCTCGCCCCGTCTTCTGTCTCTCAGTGGCAGAGCAGATGCCGAGCGGGAGAATGAACTGGGTCTGACCAGGGTTTTTTCCACTGTTCCTCCCTCGCTTACAGCCTTCAGCATTTAAGGCGTGTACATTTAGACACTCGCACCTTCTGTGGACTTTGTTCTCACACTATCAAGAAACGATAGCCCATAATGACAAATCAGCTGCCTAAAATAACAGTGTTCAAGTTACAGACACACTATACCCCTCTCGCACAGCTAATGCAGGTGGGGACAACCACAGAGGTCAGTGAATTTGCACCAACTTAGCCCAGTGGGTCTGACCCCATCCTCAGTTTGGCTTTATGTTCTCCATGGCCCAACCCATCAACTTCAGCCAGGGCTCCCACCGGATGCCCATTTTGCCAGGAAGATGCTGCACCCAATAGGTAAAACTCATTTTGGAAAGACTTGGTGCTCCTTGCTGAAGACCTGAGGCTGAGAGCACAGCTCGCTAATACAGAACGCATCAGCGAGAGATGTCAGTGGCACTGATTGCTCAGTACTTGCTGGCAGTGCTCGGATACTAGAACTGGACCGGAAGCAGAGCCGCTTCGTATCCCCCTGCTTTATTTTCCCCCCTTTGTAAAGCTGAGTTAATGCCCACTGTTGTAAAGCGCTTTACAATGGAGAAAAGGCACTGAGGAAGAGTGCAGTGGCAGTCCATCCTCTGCACTGCTTCCACGTTCTCCCCCTCCTAGCTCATGGACAGCACTGAAACTGCAACGTCACGCCAGGCTCTGAGCTGGGAGCCATGCCAGGAAAGAACGCTGGCCCCACAAAGTAACCAGAGCAAAGATTTATTTCATTTGCAAGGGATAAAAATTCCCCATGTGACGTGCCCAGGATAGAGCAGAATCAGACCTGGATAGCTGCTACATGTCTCTTCATCCTTTGCCCCTCACCGTGGCATTGGAGTGCCTGCAACCATGCTGACCGACAACATGGTCTCTGGGGCCTTTCACCCTTGAACTAGCAAGGATTTTACCCCAGTGGGGAAAAGCATCGCTATCCTCTTTTTACTGAGGACAGCTCAAAGCACAGAGAGGATACGCAACTTGCTCAAGCTCATCAGAGCGCATAAAAGAACGAGGAAAAAAGGAACCAATCTGTTAAGTCTGGATTTGCTTTCAAAGACTGTGGTGCGTAGTGCTGGAAACCCTGCTCTGATTACTGGACGACATCGCTGCCCTGATCTCCGAGAGAAACACCAGGTGGAGGAGCAGACACCAGTGCTGCATCTCTGGCAGGACCCACAGTAGGTTTTCCGAGATGCGCGAAACAGGAATCTTGACTTCCAGTGGGACGTGGCAACCCCAAAATACACCTGGACACATGTCTGGGGAAGGCATGCTGGCAAAGAGGTGTGAGGGCGCTTGTGATGGATTCGAGAAGGATGATTAGCAATGCGAGCAGGAGTCGGCGCTGGTTCAGCATTCCTGGCCTGGCCCCGCAAGGTGTGAAGCCGGGAGGTATGTGAGAAAAAGGGTCTGCCTTGAGGACGGCCGGGTGAGCCATCCCACGTGCTACTTGTTATTCTTGCAACCCTTTGCCCGAGGTGAGGCAGAAAGATGAGAGCGCGGGCATAGCCCTGTTTGGGACAGCCAGATCTGCTCGGGGCATTGGCACGGGAGAGCTGAAGGGAGGAGACTGAGAGTGTGACTCACTGGGCTCAACGAGCCACCCTTCCACCCCCTCCTGCTCTGGCCCTTCCCTGAATAGCGCCGTTTGTTGGCAGGCCTCGGCATCAGGGCTCGCCCAGGCCCCGGGGGATGGGCCCCCAGAGGCCGCAGCTGCCCTGCCCGCATGATGCTGACACGGCACCAAGGAGGGGAGACTCTGCCCGGGATCAAAGAGAAGCCTCCTGCCCCAGGACCAGGCCATGTAGGTGGGGAGCCGGCCTGGCTGGGGATGGAGCAGTCAACCCCAGCAACTGCTCCTCCCGCTCACTTGGAGATAGAACAGTGCATGCTGGGCGCAGCCACCCCAGCAAGAGCTCAAGGGAGCAGTGCATGCTGGGCGCACCCACCTCAGAGCTCAACGGAGCAGTGCATGCTGGGAGGGCACAAGCAGTGCATGCTGGGAGTGGCCACCTCAAGGAGAGCACAAGGAGCAGTGCATGCTGGGAGGGGCCACCCCAGAGAACAACAGGGAGCAGTGCATGCTGGGAGGGGCCCCACGGCCCAGCGCCCATTGTCAAAAGGCAGACAACGGGCAAGTCAGCACACCCCGAAGCCTGGACAATGACTGACAGCCCTCACGACCAATTAGCGCAAGGTCTCTCACCGGGGGGCGGGGCTCCCCCGCCTCAACCAGGGGAGAAGGGCGATGCGGGCGACTGACAGACGGGACACCCAATCGGAGACTGTCAAAACACACCCCACCCCGAAGCCGAGGACCCGTTTCGCTAGCAAGGTAGGCTGCGTCCTCGGGCGAAGATTGGCAAGCGCGGGATCCAATCAGGAGGCAAAACGAGCGGCCCGTGGGCGCCAAGCTCGGTTGACGCGTCGCTGTGGCCGGCGCCGGGGAGTGGGGGGGAGGGGGCGGAGACCGCGATGACAAAGGGCAGCGATGCCCGCGCTCCCCCCCAGCCCCGCAGGGGCCGGCGCGCCCCGCACTCACGTTGTCGATCACCACGGGCTGGTTCGCGATCACGTCGTAGGACTCCATGGCCAGCACCCGCCGCACACACCAGCCGGGGAGCCACAGCCCGGGCCGCGGGGCGCATGCGCGAGGGACGCGGCGCCGCGCGGGGCAGCCTGGGAGCTGTCTTCATAAGGAGGGAACGGGGTATGCTGGGAAATGTAGTCCTGGGGGGTCGCAGGGCATGCTGGGAGTCGTCTTCATGAGGCGGAGGGGGCGTGAAACATGCTGGGAAATGTAGTCGGGGCGCGGGTCATGCTGGGAGGTGTCTTAGGGTGGGGAAGCGGGGCATGCTGGGTAATGTAGTCCTTGCGGGAACTGCGGGGCATGCTGGGAGCTCTTCATAGGCAGAGGGCGCGGGCCATGCTGGGAAATGTAGTCCTCTAGGCATGTGGAGCTGTGGGGCATGCCGGGAGTTGTAGTTCTGGGGCGGTGCATCTTGGGACTGCTAGTCCCTTGAAGGAGACTATTGGCCACAGCAGGCCTCTGGTGGCTTTAGAAGAGGACCAATGACAAAAATTCTGCGGGGCTGTGAACTAGGAGCCTCATGCCCAGGAGCAGTGAGGGGACAGCCGAGGGGCAGAAGAAAGGCGGCCTGATGGGTGTGATGTTGAGCCCTTTAAAAAGTAGAGCAGGTCGTTGACAGCTATTCAATGAAGAGTCGGCAAGGGAGCCACAAGGATTATAAGGAGCCACGAGGCCAATGGTACCCCTCAGTGCTGCCTGATTTGAAACGCTGCTGCTGGGGCTAGGCTGTTGGTTTTAAACTTGATGCTTGATGGGTCCTTAGGTGACTGAGGAGCCCGATTCTGAATATGCACGTTCTTCTACGTTCTTGCATGGGGCAGTGGGCTCCGCAGCCCTGGGTTGGTCTCCTCCTTCCACCACTGCCGCCGTTCTGCCTCAATATCAAGTGGTTGGGCCTTGAAGTGGTGCGCGCCTTGGCACCCTTGAAAGGATCTCACGAACCCCCCAGGGCACTGTGGCAACCTGATCGCGAATCACTGGTTTATGAGGAGAAAAAGGAAGCCGCACCACTCAGGTTGTGACTGTGACTTCTGTGTGTCTTTATTGGCTATTTGCCTATCAAATCCCCTCTAAATAGCTTTTTTTTTTTTTTTAGACTCTTCACATGGGTGTCCTTCCACACCTGTAGTTCAGTTGTTGACCATCTTTTAGGAGCAGCAGGCTGAATAACAGCCCGGTTCAAGGCAGACCGGTGGAGTTCCAGTCCAGCGGAGGGCAGTGAAAGTGGTTGTGGGGCTGAGGGACAGGACTGGTGAGGAGAGGCTGAGGGACCTGGGCTGATTGAGTCTGGAGAAGAGAAGACTGAGGGGGATTTGATAGCAGCCTCCACTTCCCTGCAGGGGGGCTGCAAAGAAGAGAGAGCTGGACTGCTCTGTGGGGGCAGATGACAGGACAAGGAGCAATGGGCTCTGGCTGCAGCAAGGGAAGTTGAGGTTGGATATTAGGAAAAACTCTCTCACCAGGAGCGTAGTAAAGCAATGAAACAGGCTGCCCAGAGAGGTCGTGGAGTCTCCATCCTTGGCAGTTTTGAAGACCCGGCTAAACAAAGCCTTGGCTGGGATGTTGTAGTTGGGGCTGGTCCTGCTTTGAGCAGAGGGTTGGACTAGATGTGACCTCCTGTGGTCCCTTCAACCTCATTTTCTATAATTCTGGTCACAACACATCTAGGACCCTGCCACAGATTTCCCCTGTCACAGACATGCCCCGGAACTGGCTCATTGCTGAAATGCCACAGGCTTCACGGGATGGATCTGGTCTGCAGGCTGCAGCCCCTGCTCTAGTTACATTTGTCAATGGTTTTCAAATTCCAGGTATTTCTTCTGTATTTTGTGAGATGGGGAAGTTAAGGTTAAACAACACCCTACATCCATGTGGACATCCCACATGATAGTGGCATCCCACTAAATCCCACGATAGAGTATTATTATAGAAGAGAATGGATAGATAATAAAATACGCTGTCTCCTTACCTGCTCTAATAACTTGTTGTTTGATGACTGCTGCTGAGAAGTGTTTAGGCTGAATGAAGCACACTGGGTTTTTTTAGAACCCAACAACATGTGTGTGGAGTATTTTAGCACCCATTCATTCAGACATTAAGCCTCACTTTTAGATTGAATCCTGGGCAGATATTCTGAATATTTACTTCAACTAATTTTATTGATTTTTATATCCTTCTCACTTCTGTTACAATCCATCATTAGCGGGCCTAACAGCATGGGAGGTGTCACGTTAGCCCAGATAAATCACCAGAGAGAGTTATGTGTGCATTAAATCAACAAGTATTTGCTAAGTGATTCTGTTTCTAATATTTACCTTCTCTGGTTACCATAGTCAACTTTTCTCAGGTGGGTAAACCGTTATTGGTATCACCATAATAGGACAGGTGAAACATTGCTTATCGCCTCTTAGCAACTCTTATTCATTTGTTTGCCTGCCTTTCAGTCTCTGGCTACAGGTGAACTCTCCAAAACCTGTTTTGTGTACATTGACATTTGGGCAAATATTCTTTACCTGCATACTTGAAAAACCCAGGGAACAGGAACACTTTGCAGCTCAATTTGCTGTTTTAGCTATAATCCAGTGTCTTGATCTTTGCAAGATTTATGGAGGCATTCACAGTGTTCAAACTTTTATATGTGCACGAGACTTTGCAGGATTAGGGACGTGGCTACAATTTCTAAGGCAGTCTGGACCTTCACTGAAAGAAAGAAAGAAAGGAGAGATGCATTGTCGTTGATATTGCAATTGAGACTCATACCCTGCTGTATCCGGAAAGGCTCAGAGCAACTACAGGAGATGACAAACAACAGTACATTCCCCAAAACTGGAAAACGTCATTTCTGCTTTCCTGCCGGCAAAAGTCTTATAGGTGTAACAGTGCTGACTGACAACGGCTTGTTATGTTGACGCCGATCCTACAACAAATGCACCTGCGCGATTCACTCTACAAGCTGGCGTCAAAGGGACCATTCGGAGGGCCAAATCCCGCTGGTGTGGCCGTCCTTGGGAATGTCGCCATCGACTGTAACGGTTCAAGGATGTCACGTGCTCAGACCTTCATGAACCTCGTGCATGTGCACGGGGCTGAGCCCCCTGAGAACCAGACTTCGAGTTTCTGGGTTTACACTACGCATTGTAGGGCCGGGTGCAGCTGCCGGCGGCGGCCGCCAGGGGGCGCGCGAGCCTCGGGCGGTTGCGGGCGACGGGCGGAGGCCCCGCCCCGTCCCCGCGAGGTGATTGGCGGAGCCGC